CATTACTTTTGTCTCTTATCAATAATAATCAGTTGCCAATAATTCGTATCAAAGATAATATATTATTACTATATTTATATTTTTAAATGTTTTTAATTTTTAACTTTATGAAATATTTTCACGATAATCCCGGTAATTTTTTCCTTGATACTTTTTTGAAAGGACCCATCCACAATACACTTTTGTAAGCTTGCTGTATTACAACTAATAATGTAGGTAACTTTTTGTGAGAAAGACTACAGACATTATTACACAGGTTCTTAATTCTATGTATAAGAGAACTAGAAAAATATCAAAAAGTAATCCACGATTATTGTAATACAAATAAAAATATTAAATACTGGCATGTAGGACAAATCTCAAATATATACTAGGTGTATAAAAATATTATTGAAACTTATAACGTAAGAGTATAAAATAAATGTGTAAAATATAATTTTAATGATAATATAAAAATACATGTATCTATTATTGTATTTTATACGTAACTATATTAATTAATTCATCACTTTATTTCATTTAGATATCTCTAGTTTAAATTAGCTAAGCATTAAAAACAAACCAGTATTATAAAAGGAAAATTTGATAATAGTAATGATTTAATAAAATAATGTAAACGATTTTTTTTTTTTTTATGAAGGGATATATTGTACACTTACAACAAGTAGCCCAGAGTGCCATAATGGATAGTCTCTCAAATCAATCCACATGCTTGTTAATTTAATTAATCTATATTTTCGGTTAACTGTACTAAAAATGTACAAATTGTTAAATTTCTCAAATAATAATTGAAAAAAAAAAATTATAAATATACAGTGTTTGTAATTTATTACTACCTATTTTCCATAACTTTACATATGAAAAAACATAGACTTGATATGCTTAGGCGAAGGTACTTACCTTAAACTTGAGTCTTATCGATTCCCTCCGCCGAATTCTGCTGTGAAATTCGCTGATACTGTGTAAGAACGCGTTTTCTTTATCAATTGTCGTGCTACCAGGCAAATGGCATTTCGTTGACAAAGATTTTCTAGAGTTTTTAGACGTGGGAGCCATAATGATTTACAATTTTACGATAACACACGATTTTTAAATTAACTAGCGTTACGACTTTGACTTACTTATTTTTATGTCTTAAAAAAATTAAAAGTTATCAATGAAACACTACGTTATTGAGAATACACAACGATAACGTTCAAAATAAAACACAACAAATTATATTACATTCAAATTATGAAAAAAAATAATAATAATATATCTGTCAAAAACATAACAAACGTAAATGGCATTACTTAATACCAACTTCTATAGTTCTATAGCTCTATTATAGTATTATTATTTACTATTATAATTTTTTATCACATACTGACACGTCGTATTGGACAATAGAAAACAATGGTATTATAGTAACGGATTTTTTTCGAAATTTTTATAAACAACTCGATAACGTTGTAAACATGTGATAACACCAATAACAGCTATCGTGCGTGTTGCAGTGTCGCCACCATAGTATGTCACACTACTGGTCATTCCCCTATTCACTTAAACCGATAAGAATAGCGGTAGATACTAGATAATACAGCACCGCGTTAGCATGGTTTGTTGTCTGCCGGACGTCAGTGGTCAGTATAATTTTGAAAATTTGTGGCTTTTGCTTTACCAAATCTTCCGAATCCACAGGCTCGGTGACTCGTTGATCGTAATTTATCAGTCAACATTGTGTATTATTGTTTCTTCTGTAAATTCTTTAATGTATATAGTGAAACTAACAACTTTTATTTGATTTTTTATTCTCTGTTTAAAGTTTAAACAGTTTCCAACAATTCACGGTTAAATTTGTCGTCACTAGACATTAAGTGTAAAAGTGACTACTGATCAAACTATTTGTTCAAAATTTATAAATTTCACAATCGTCTTACATTTATTTCATCTATACTATATTTTTAAATGTTCACTGTTAGTTTTAAATTGTATTCAGTAAACTCGTAATTGATATATTTTATTTTAAAATGCGTATTAAATTAAACCTTTTGCAACTGACACCGGATAGAAATCCAGCCATTTACTGGCTTCACATAGACATGACGTGCATTACATTAATAAAACAACTTAAAGAAAAAGTACAAAAAGTGTTAAAGGAACCTCGTGATATAGAATTATATTTTGATAATGTACCATTTCTGGATGAAGATGATATCAATGCAATTAATGAAAATGAAGAAATAACGTTAGTAAACTTTTAATTCATCAGTAATTACATACTTCTTTTTTTATCATTAGTTGTGTGGAATAAGAATTTTCCACTGTACAAAATGTTTTAAAATACCACTTTAAATTGGTATTTTATCATTTACAATAACTAATAACTTATGTTTACACTTAATCATTTTATTTACCTTGTTTAAAATACATTGCTTATTGATTCATAGATACAATTTTTTCAAATTAAAATTTGTTTTTGATAAATTGAATGCCATTATCAAATGTTATTGTATGATTATGATAAACTAATTAAATTACTGAATTTTCTTACAGTTAATGACCTAAAACAAAATATTTAAATGTATTAGAAGATTAATTATCCCGCATAACCGACACTAGCTAATATATATTTAGCTATTACTAGTTAATTTATTACCTATTTGTTTTTTTTTTTTTTAGTGTTATGGTGAAAAAAAGAAATATTTATGATGAATCAAAATGTACCATAACGAAATCAAATATTATAGACCTGAATATGATTCCTAATAATACCAATGGAGTTTTATCACCTTATCATGAAGTGATTGAAGAATCCAATAATCATATTGAAAATTCAACTTCATCTGAACTATTAAAAAATCCTAAAAAAAGAATACGCAAGAGAACACATAAAAAAAATAAAAAAAACATTGAACCTGTTGAAAATGTAATTTATTTAATTTGTAATATAATTTATTTTATACTCATTAAAAATGAATATTTTTTTAGGAGTATGTGGGTACTTTATCTGAGACTTCTATTGTGTCATCAAAGGAAACTTGTAAAATGCACAAGCGTTTTAAATTAGACAATACAGAAAACCTTCATCTAGAAGATAGTTCTCATTCCATACATTCTGAAGAAGAAAAACTTGAAGTAACAAGAGAAATTTTTCGTTGTGACTCTCCAGCTCTAAATTTAAAAGAGCAAAAAAATATAAAACTTCCTAGTATGTATATTTACTCAAAATTATTTTATTTCAAATTGATTATTACTGCTAACCATTTAATTTCAGTTTGGAAAAATGAAAAACCATTAAATATTAAATTCCATAAAGTTCCAGTATTTGTACGTGGTCAAGCATGTACACCGATAACTTCTACACAAAATATAAATTATACTGAAAATGAAAATAATAAATCTAGTGATAGTAATTTAAGTGAAAATTGTGATATGTTAGTAGTAGATTGGAAGAACATGTCTCAAATAAAAGTAACAAATATTACTGAGTTACAAATTCATGATTTATTACAATTCAAAGCAAGTTTTTATATTATTATATTCCGTGTATGAATATATTTAATTATAAGTTAACATTATTTTTGTTTTATCTAATTATAGATTATGTCCATGAACGAATGTGGTGAACCCCACTTGTCATCAGTTATAACTGCTCGTTTAGATCACATTTATAAAAGTACATTACATATTCAAGTACTTTGTAAGTTGATAGTTTGTTATTATTTATTTATTACTATACATAAAAATATAAATGTGATTAAATTGTCATTTTTAATTATATTATTTATTTGTATTAGCTGGTATAAAAGAATTTATGACAATTAACCCCAAATTCAAAATGGATGATGAAGAAAATATTGGAACTCAGCGTGAAGTCGAATTTGATGATCTATATGACATTTTTAAACTTGTCTAATCTGTTAGCTTGTTTTATTTTTGTATTTTTATTATCGACTTACAAATGAATTTATCATGTTTTATATAAATTATCTAATTATTTCTATTTGTTGTTAAATATTTTATTTTAAGATCCTAATTTAAAGACACATTTAATAAGTATCAGTATACATATTAATTTTAAAAAAAAAATTAATAATAAAAACAAAAAAAAAAACCAGAGCCAATTTTAGTATGCCCAAAATTATTTAATGTAATAAATTTATTTTAATTAACAACAGATTACAATTAATGAATAATATTTTTTATTTAAAAATAAAAATAATATTTGGAAATATTTTTATTTTAAATTGCTGTATAAGAGAAGTTTGTAATTACTAGAAAGTATTATCTCGTGAATTTCATAGGTTTTATTTTATATTATAATTTTAAAAAAACTCATAACTTACTTCAAAAAAATTAAATTTTTAAATGATATTCCTAATTTTAAACTTCAGTGGTAGTGTCACAGATTTTATTTTGTGGTAGTAGTGGTGACTAATGACAGAAAAAAAGACACTTTTAGAGTTTAACACGGCTTCTTATGAGGTACAGATTTGCAATACCTGTTAGAATACCAGCACTTCTAGACGCCAATAAAAAGATATTTCCCATTATTCTACTTTTCTAGCAACTGTTTTTCCAAAAATTTTGCAGACTATTAAAATATAATATTATGTGAGCATTAAAAAATCAGTGTGACTAGACAAAAATAATTTTATATTTTTGATAAATTAATGGATACACTGATATTCCACAAATTGAACTGGGTAAGTTTTGAGTGCACAACAAGAGCAAAATACTCTATTCTATGACTACATACCTACGATCATATATGACATATTATATTATATAGTATTTGATAAGAGTCATTTCTGATTATTCTGTGGTAGTGACGTAATGTATTTTTTTTTTATAACGACGGTACAAAGATGATTGTTATTGTAGATAATACTATCTAGTATTAACAGCCGTTGATGAAATATTTATTTTTTTGTACGTCTATGGTCTAATCACTAACCACTAAAATGAAAATTTATTATTATTGGCATTCGGCAATTTTTATTCCTATATTTACAATCGACACAGTCCCACATTTCCGACTCCCACTATTCCCTCTTAAGTCCCGTTCGACTCTATAGTTTATATGCTTTAGATGTTCGGTATTATAGTGGTATTATTCAATACTTATATACTTATTCATCACACACTTACACCTCTTAATCATCAATCATTCCTCCTCGCGTAGTATTTGAAACAATTTTTTGTCAGAGCATGAAAAAAATCTCACGACATCCGAAGGTCAACCACATGCGAGAACCAGTGGTGGTCGCTTGTTGCTACTTCAATAATTAATGTTCCTCTATAGATAAATGTATACACTATTATTATGACGTTTCTTTAACTATAATAGTTTAATTATAGACTCATTTTTTAATTATTTGATATTGATTTGTTATACTTGAAATTGTTTGTAGATATATAACCATAACTTTTTGTATTTAAATCTTAAAGTTTAATAACTATAACGGGTATTAAAATATGAGTCTCACGGACACTGTTGGCAAATGTGCCGCAATTGCAACCATTGGAACATTCTTTGCTCCTGTGTAAGTACCTATATAATTTAAATTTAAATAGTATTCAGTATTTTGTAATATTTAAAATTGACAATTATTGGCCTAGATGCATTTTAAAATCATGTTGCTTATACTTTTAAATTTTATCATTACTTTTTGAAAAAAAATTTCTCAAAAATATACAATCTATTACTTTTTGAAATTTTAAACTTTAATTGTTATCTATATAATTTAAATTGCTTTCATTTTAGTGTTTTATTATAATAACACTTCTACTTAATTTTCTATCAACCATATAAATCAATAAAACATTTTAATTCTAACTAGGTTGCTACCTAGTTAGAAAAGTTTCAATATTTTTTATATTTTGGTTCTTTGATATTTAAACAATACATAAATTATGTTACGAGTAGTGGTAAAATACCTGTAATATATAGAACTAGTAAAAAAAAATATCTAAACATAGTTTTTTTAAATATATTTAATACATGGTTAAATAATTGTTTATACTTGAATAAATTTTAAGAATTTGTGTTAGCTACCAATCAAATACATTTACTAAATATTTTCATTTAGTTTGATAGTTTTTCGTTCTTCTTTAAGAGTACACCAAACTAGTATGTGATGTCTTCGTCCTACAAACGTATAATAGAAAATTTATGTTTATTTAATCATAATATATGTAAATTTAAAATTAGTAATCTTTAAAACTAATACTAGACTCTTGACTTGTTAATCAATAAAAGCTTGTTATTATAAGGTTTTAATAGTTAATTAGTCAATAAGCAAAGTATTTGAAATAAATACTATAACAATAGTTTAAGGCAGGGGTCGGCAACCCGCGGGCCGCATGCGGCCTGCACAAAGGTGGTTAATTTTTGTGTTTTACTTTTGTTTAATAACATTTTTCATATAATTTTCAATATTATATAATTCTTTTTCCTTTATAAATAAAATCTTATCTAACCGTTTCATAATAGCAATACAATTATAAGTATTATATCATAATATGTAATTTTTTTTTTTAATGTGGCCCTTGATGAACAATTGAAAAAAAAAATGGCCCGTGTGGTTAAAAAGGTTGCCGACCCCTGGTTTAAGGTATAAAATTAAAGTACCCAATTGGCTTAATGCTTCAATAAAGATAATGATCTCTTGATATTATATGGGTTATTAATAATTTATTTAAATATAACTTTGATTAAAAAACTAAACATATTCTTTATTATTAATTTTATAATGTATACTCAAAGATTACTTGAAATTGTTAACTTTAAAGTAGCACTAGGGTAGTTAAATTTATCCTGCATTATAATTTATAATAGAATTAAGTCATAATCAAAAATATGATTTTAAAATATTTAAATTATATGAATGTGTTAACCTCTAAATATTGTAAAATATGTAACAAAAATTAAAAAATATAAAAAAATATATTGTTGGTGTTATCTTATTTAAAGAATCAAATAATTAGTATGTAAATGATAATAATTGAAAAACAAACTTAAGTGTAAAAATACCCAAAATAATTTTAATTCTTCCATGTAATATAAAAATAATTTAAGCTTTCTTTAACAAACATGAAGATGCTTGTAAACCTATTCTCTGGTTATGATATTTGTTTATTTAGTAGTAATATATTAATATAAAATAAACTCTACACAGTAACAACATATAGATTATAATTGTATTAAATTAAATTTATATTTTTAAAATAATATCTAAGAAGTAAATATTGAATTTAAATTATTTATAAAATGTAAATAATAATGATTTACACTTTGTAGGTGTATTGGTATTAACTAATTTTCAAAATATATTCCAAAGCATATCCATTTGTATAACTTATGACTAATCATAGCTTTGATATAATTATAATAATAATAGTATAAATATTTAAGTATAATTATATTATACTAGATTAATTTAACAATTTTTAATTTTATTTAAATATAATTGTGTTATTTAAAAATATTTATTAACACTTTACTATAAAATATGCAATGGCAAATAAATTAATTTAGAATGTATTTGTATTGCAAATTATTTATTTATTTAAGTTACATAATTATAGTTATGTATTTAAAAAAAATATATTTTTTTAATCCTTTTTTTATCCAATTATTAATATTGAACTTATCTTATTTTTAATAGCTAATCTATTTTAACCTTAATAAAATAAGACAAAAATATATTTATTGATTAGCTAATACATTTTTAACATTCAATTATTTATATTTCACTGTTTCAGTCTTATATGTCGGGATATAATAAAAAATAAAAGCACCAAAAATGTTGATCCTACACCTTTTATTGGAGGTATGGCTATGTAAGTATTATATTGATAATTTTAATTTATTCATTTAACTGTTCATTATAATTTAATTTGTTTAGGTCCATACTTATGATCAAAAATGGAATACTTATGAATGATCCTAATATTATACCAGTTAACATTTTTGGATTTATACTAAACTTGATTTATTTTTTAGTGTTTTATTTTTATACTGCTGATTCGGTAAATAAATTATTGTTATTTTTAAATATTCAATGTTTTTCTAAATATTATAATGTTTTTATATTTGTAGAAGCCATTATTTTCAATGTTAACAAAAGCCATATTGTTCACTGGTGTATTATGGGGATACACAACAGTTGAAGATGAAAAACTAGTTGAATACCGTTTTGGAGTTATTCTCACTGTATTAATGTTAACACTAATTGGATCTCCTTTATTCTCTTTGGTAATTTTTTCTAAGTGCTCCATTTAAGGGTGGATCTAGAATGTCTGTGACTGAAGGATGATCAAATATCAGTATAGATTATCAGAGTTTATTTTAAGATTGGTTGATATCTGGGATTGAAAAGAAGTTTATATTGAAATTAGTTATGTAAATAAACCAAATTAATCATATTATTAATCAAATAATTTATATTATATCACTCATTCTATATATATATTATTTTTTTTGAAAGTGAGAGAGAATTGCTTTCATGCAATTCCCTCCCCTACTTTGAATCTGGGCCCAAACCTCATTAATATTATTCAAGTATATTTCTTCAAAAAGAAACCAGTAAAAGTATTTTTAATTTTTAGGTAAATTGTATAATATTTTTTATTTATTTTCTTAAAATAAAATCTTTCATATTTAATTATTATATATATTTTTTGCACAAATTATAAAATTAAAACTAGATTAAAATATTTGTAATTATTTTATCATGTAAATAACTTTTCAGACTGGTATTTATCAATTCTATTTATTTCATATCACCAGCTTTTATTTTGTCAATTCTATATTCTGACCAATGAGAAAAGAAACTTGTACCTCAACAAAAATATGTCCATTTTTTTCCATACGTATGATAGTATGTGGACTAGTGTATCAACATTAAAGAAAAATAATGTATCTCATGCTTGTTACAAGTTCTTCTCTGTAGGTTAGAGAAGAATACCTATTAAATATTGACTATTAGTTTATTACTTATAAATTATTAATTAGTAATAAATAATAATCAATAAGTATGAATGTTTTCTTATGGTTTATACGTGTTCATTTGTTTTACAGAATGATATCATCAAAAATAAAGATGCATCAATGCTACCTTTTCCAATGATTGCTTCTGGAGCTTTTGTTGGATTCTTGTGGTTAATATATGGGTTGTTAATAGACAACATTTTTATCAAGGTATAATAAATAATGCTATTTTAATATGCATTTATATTAAAGTTCTTTTGTTTTAGGTTCAAAACATAGTAGCTGTTGTATTGTGTTTAATACAATTGGGATTAATATACAAATATCCTAAACTAGATAGCAAGAAACGTGATTAATGAATATAGTTACCAATTTAATGTAGTTTTTATTTATGAATACTGTGATTAACTTTTACATCTTTCAATATTACATTTACATAATATCCTTACATTTCCATTATTTTGAGTGCTAATTTACATAATTAATTAGTTTTATATTAATTAGTAAATTCCAAAATGTGATGTTAAAGTAATAGTTATTAATTTTGTGTCATTTTTTGTTTTAAATAATTATAGTTAATGAATATAATTATACAAATAATCAAAATCATTCCAATAAATTAAATTAATTTAGTTACCTATTTCACTGTATTTCAGTTTAAATTATTAAAATCATAAATACAATTTTAGAAATTAAATATTCTTTGTGAAAAATTTATTTTTTGAAACAAAAACTATTATATATTTTGTACAATAGTTTATTTTAGGTAGATATTTTGATGCTGTTTTTGTATCTTTTTTGAATGAAATACTTAAGTTGATGTAAGTATCTTGGTATTCAATGAGATTTGTTAAAGACCGATTAGTTGACGGTTGTAGGAATGTTTGTAATTTATTTATTACAAGTTACAACTAGATATCTAGTTTACAACTGCAGCTGAAAAATGAAGGAAGTGCCTATTCGTAAAATGTTACTAGAAGTCTTTAGGATCTAGAGTTTTAAGACTACATTTGGTATAACGTAGAAATAGCATTTTTTAAAACTATAAGTGTGCATAACTATGAATCTAGTTTTATTTTACTAAGTACTTATCACTGCGACATTACCTTGTTATTTTTTAATATATCTACTGTTGTGCAAAATTTAAGTAGAAATTTAAAACATTCGCATAATGGCCATAATGTATTACCATTTTATTAATTGCATATTGAAATATAAATCTTAAAATACAAAATTATTATTATTACCTACATTCTTTTTGAACTATTCATTGAATCAAAAATATTTAAAATGTCTAAACATAATTTTCTTTTAGCTATTTGTATTTGAAATACAAAATTGGATAAGATTACATATTATTATTTTAATGACAAATAACAATGTTCATTATTTTGTTATAGTTTAAAATCATTTTTTAAGATTTAAAACTTAACACAATGAAAATTTTCAAAATATATGAATAGGTAGGTATGTAGATTGACAGTAATTTATAGTTACATGTTCATATCATAATTTTGTCTTAGATGTAATTGATCCATGCTCATATGTACCAAATACCCTTAGATAGGTATCCTAATCAAGGGCGCCCATAGGAAAAATCTCAAGGGGGGGAGGCAAAATTTTAATTATGTCTAAAGATGGGAAGGGGTTTATAATTTTACATACTATTATATTTTGGTATCCCGTCATTTCGTCGCGGGCATTTGATCGCACGACAATTGGATGCGTACGACATTTCGTCGCGTGTAATTTCAACGCATGCTACATTTGGTCGCATGTACCTATATTTAAATGTATAATTATATTATATATATAATAATAACATTACATATATTAATGTATATATTTCAAAATATAATATATTATAATATCATAATATTAGATAAATGGATTATCGACGATGTTTTATGGATATGTATATTTAACAATATAATATAATATACAATAATTCTATAGTATCTTTATAATTTAGTGGTAGTGGTGTAGTACCTACTTATCGTTTACCCATCTTTATTTCAGTTACCTATTTATTATTTGGTTTTTACGTGAGTCTTTATCGAATATTCGAATTATTACAGTGTAGGTACCTACTTGCCGTATGAGTCTTAGTCGATTAAGTAGGTATACTAGGTAGGTATAGTGTTATACAGTATACCTACGTCTACTTAGTACTTACCTCGATTCACATTATAATATTATATTCACACATATTATTTATTTTACAAATTATAAAAGCTATGTCTTTAGAATTTATAAAAAGTCAACGGGGGCATGATCTAATTCATGATGGTTTTATTTATAATCGAGAAAGAACTATTGGCGATAAGATTATTTGGAAATGTAACGAATCTAAAAATTGTACTGACCGTGCTCATACAATGCAAGGTAAAATTTTTAATTTCTTAGTATTGGTATTCTAAAAAATTATTTATTATACACCTATTTATTAAATAGATATCGTCATAAAATACAAGAAACATAACCATGTACAAAATAGGGCAAAAATCGAAGTAAAAAAAACTATAAATCTAATGAAGGAAAATGCTATCACGATAATTATAAATATTTCAATATAATATAAAAATTTTTATTTTAAACATAATTTAAAAGTACTAAAAAATTGTTATGTTATTATTTCAATAATTTTGATGTTGGGCTATAATATATTATTATATTATTTTAGTTACCATCCGAAGTGGCTGGTTAAATGCCGAATCCAAAATGTTTAAAAAGAACAATTCAACGGGTTAGGAACATTTTTGAAGCCATTCCTGTAAATCCACAAACATTACATTTTGAAATTCCGGATCAATTCAAATTGACTTTAGAGTTTAGACGGAGATAATTTTTATTATACGACAGTAGTGATAGTGGCATATATTTCGACTGAGAGAAATTAAATTTATTAAAAGATTCTGAACATTGGATTTTTGATGGAACATTTTCATCATGCCCGAACTTATTTTATCAATTTTATACCATTCATTTAGTATTCCATAGTGATATAATACCTTTAGTATACGTTTTATTACCCGATAAAAAGGAAATAACATATAAAAAATTATTTCAAGCATTAAAATCATTGAAGTTTAATTTATGTCCAAAATCTTTTATCGTAGACTTCGAAAAAGCAGTGATGAATGTAATTAAAACCGAATTTCCCAATACGAAGATTCGCGGGTGTTTCTTTCACTTAATTCAAGCGATTTGGAGACAAATACAACACCATGGTCTTGCAAAACAATACAGTGACGATGTACAATTTTTATTAGAAGTACGAAAATTAGCTGCACTTGCATTTGTACTTGCCGATACAATTATTGAAGCATTTGAATCGTTATTAGAAAGTACATATTATATTGAAAATGAAGAAATGTTATCACCACTAATAACATATTTTGAAGAAACGTGGATTGGTCTTTTGGATAGGAGAGGAAATCGTCGACCCTCATTATTTTCCATTTGAAATCTGGAGTTGTTATAATAGGTTACAAGAAAGTTTACCCTGGACTAACAATAAGATAAAGGGTATAATGGATTTTCAGCAATGATAAGCCATACGTGACCAATTATTTAGAAATTTATCGAGTCATTAAAAAAAGAAGAAAGTTTAAATAAAATGATAATAGAACAAATAATTGCTGGGCATGTACCATGTAAAAAAAAAAAAAATATAATGATTCATCTAATAAATTAATACAAATATGTATATATTTAAATAATAACTCAATATGTGAGGTTTTGAAAGGTATTTCTCATAATTTAAATTTTTATAAATAATAATATTTTACTGCTTTATTTTATTTATTTTTTTTTTTTGTGCTGATTAAAATACTTTATTTTTGTGTTTTTTTTTTTTAAATATTTTATTTAGATTATTATTATTATTTTGATTGAACTTAATTTTACATTTTATAAATAAATATATATTATAATTATAAAATTAATTTACTGATCTATAAAATTATTATTATTTAGAATACATCTAAGTATATACGATGAAATGGCACGCGACCAAATGTAGCATGCGTCGAAATTACACGTCCAATTGTCATGCGACCAAATTATTGCGATGAATTGACGTAAGACAATATTACTGTGACGAAATTATGTATAACGTTATATTTTATATAATATTAAACTGGAAAATTATGAAATAATAATTATTTATCCAATTAACCATATAAGTTATTTATTGAATTTTCATTTGATTAATAACATATATTTATTAAAATATTAATTTACAAATAAAAATTGTAAATTTTTTTTTTTAACACCAATTATATTTATTACTTACTTATTCTAAGTATTCATTCGTTTTATCATCAATTGTTTCCCTATATACGCTTATCATGCATAATCCATCAAGTTTATCTTCAGTATCTCCACTCGTTGTAGATCTTGTGTAAACAATTTTTCAACATTTTCTAGATGGGGAACATATCCGTCCCTTGCCTCCCCCATATGAGCGCCATTGTACCTAATATAAGCTACGTAGTTAGGTAAGTATTTAAGTATATTTATAATTTTCATTCGAAGTGGTATAAAAATAACATGTTATAAATAATTAATACCGAAAAATCATTCAATAATTATTTAGAATTTATTTTAAATACACTTAAATTTTTTCTTATTTTGTACCTATGTTTAAAATTTTAGATTCTGAGGGGAGCAATGAATTTATTGATTTTACAATGAGTGAGTATAATGTATGTGTTTTTTGTGTATGTAACTATTTACTATAAGTTATCAATAAAATAATTCGATTTTAAACTTTAAGAGTGATTTTGAATGTCAAATCGCATATAATTTGTACTTTAAAGAATTCAATATTAAAAACATAATTAATTTTATAAATGTTTGTAGTTTATACATAAATAAAATTATGTATTTTAACAATGAATAACGATGTTAATATTTTATTATGATTCAAAAACATTAGCCGTAAAGGAATTTATTATTATTATCATTTTAAACTTTTTGAGTCATAGGTATATAGACATAAAAAATAAAAATAAATTTTCTATAAATATCGATAATGATATTTATATTTGACGCTTTCTTATCACATTAAATCTGTTATCAGTTATATTCCATAATCTGTATTGTCTATATTTGTTGTTATAAGCTTATTACTTACTCATGTAAAATTATAAGAGACTTATACAATTCGATTTCAATGATTATATTTTAAAAAATGAACTGAAAACTGAATGTAATGTTCTTCAGAATAGATTGTTTCTTCAAAAACACTTGGAATCTTGCGCCAGCGTTGGATTTTAAAATGTTGACCACGAAATGAATCGTTATGGACGAACAACAATCAGTGTCCGAAAGTGTGGAGACGAGTTCTATATGTGAAGAAGAGCGGGCAAGGAAATTATTCCAAGCCTGTGATGGCGATGGCGATGGTTACATCGATAGGTGAAAACAATATAATAATACTATAATTATGATTTTTACTGTATCTATTTATTTTTTTCATCTCAATGGTCGATCTTACTTTCCACTATGCTCCATAGAAGAATCATAGAAATAATAAAAATAATAGAATGCCTCAACATTATCAAACTGCTAATTATTATGATTTAATGTATCAGTTTTATTAATCCTAAATGTTAATACAACATTTCCTTATGCTCATTTAGCCTTGTTAGTATTGCAGAACATGCAAGACATATTTTATTTAATGATTAATTAGTAATCATTAGTTTTAACATTATTAGTTCTTTTTAAAAAATTATCTTGTAATCTCTAAATGGTTATTAAAAATTATGTTGACCTGAACATATATTTTATTTTCCTTTCCTCCTCCCCCTTTTAAAAATAACCATATTTTATTTAAATTATGGTTTATTTTTTTTATTTGTAGTCGAGATCTGTTGACAATTTGTCGTCAGTTAAATTTAGAAGATAGTGTTGATGAATTGATGAAAGAATTGGGTGCTGATAAATCTGGCCGTATATCATTTGATGAGTTTGTTAGACGTCGTTTGGAATTACGAACAGAAATCAATGCACTTCGTGTCCACATCTATGATCCATTGCCTGAATACTTGCCTACCAGTAGTGATAATAGTTTAGGTAAGATTTGTAAATATTTGATTTGAGTTTTTTTATTTTTTATTAAACTATCTTAGGAGCATTATCTGGTGGTAAACATGAAAGCTGGGAATTTGATAGTGGTGCTAGAGACCTAAGTCCTGAACCAAACTCTGTTCGTATGCAAAATCTGCTTCAAACAGGAGGATCAGCTAATTCTGGAAATTTATTACATCTTGCTAATAAAGTAAGGAACACAAATAGTAACTGAATTTAATATATTCTTAAATTGTACTTATCTTATATAGTCATAAGTATATTAAAACTAATTTATTAAACTAAAACTATCTATACATTTTAGTTGCATTTGGCTGCATTAAAGTCATTGAAAACTGAAATATCAGATTTAACTAAACAATTGCAATTGGCTAATGAAAAAAATGAAATTCTTGAAACATCTATAAATCAAATCAAAGTAAAACTTAAACTTTAAAAAATATTTTTAAATATTATTATATTTAATAATAATTTAATTATTGTGCAGGTTACAACAGAAATTGATATAAAACAGAAATATGAAGAAAGAATAACTGAATTACATTCAGTTATTGCTGAACTAGCCCGTAAGTTACAAGTTCAAAGATCTCAAGTTATTACTGAAGAAATAGAAGAAAGTCAATCAGGTAATTTTGCCTTTACAATTTAGATCTATGTAATTTACTTTTATTGATGTCTATTTTTTAGAAATTGATGCTCAAAGTATTGAAACATCCTCATTTATTCAAGAATCCATTGTTTTATCTAAAGAGGTATGTTTAAAAAATATTTTGATTCAAAGAAGAATATATTATAATTACATTTGTTTTTAAGATTAATCATAGTAAAATAAAAAATATAATATACTATGAATCATCAATCTCTTTTGATTGTATATAATCAACATTAAGTTATTTAATTATGTAATTTAAGTAAACAATTTAAAAATATTTGACTAATAAACTTTTTATTTTGTGATTTAAAATATATTTTGGTATACAGTCAACTTCCAATATAACAAAGCTCAGTATAACAAAAATCTTGTTCTCTTGAAATTATTTCGATGTAAAATCAACATTGATGTAACAAGCTCTCAATATTTCACTTTTTCTCGTTCCCTTTAAATATAACAATATTACAAGTTGATTATATTTAACAAAAAATATTGGACAAATCTTTGAGGTGTATTTTTAGGAATTGACTTAATGCATTATAAATATTTATAAATTAATTATGACTTATACACATATAAGAATGATATACTCATATACCACCTGGTCTTCATCTTATTATTGTTAGCAATTTTATGCTTATCAGAACCAGTTTTGGTCGGTAGCTTTAATATTATTAGAGTAAATTGACCTATTATATTATCTACTATACGAGAACATTAAATTGATGTATATAAATTATTTTATAATGTATCAATTTTTAAGAGTATAAAATATAATAATTATTCATCTAAAAAAAAAAAATGTTGTTAATTTATATTAAGTTTTTCTTTTTTTAGGGTGACTGTGCAGCTTCATTTGATAACCAAGAAACCAAAAATCATACAATATATACTGATGTACATACTAAATTGGCTTTAAAAGAAGAAGAATTAAAAAAAACAAGACATAATTTGGAACAAGTAACTGATGAAAAAGAAGAATTAATATTAAATGTAAAGTTTGGTATTTATGACATTTTTAATTTCTTCAATTAGAATTCTATAGAATACTGATACATAAAAATGTATTAAATGTATAAACATAATTACACTGATTTATGGATAATAATTAAAATATCAGTTATAAAAATGAAAGAAAACAACATTTTGCGAGTTTTCTAATCAGTAAAAATTCTTTATTGTTTATATATTTTACTTTAAATAATTTTAAAAATATTTACTACTAGGTTTCCAGATTTTTATTATATCCTAATAACTTATGGATAGTGTTTAAAACAAAATTATATTTTAATCATACAAGTTAAAAAGTTATGATTTTTGTACTATATTAATATTGTTTTGATATATATCATTGTATCTTATGAAATAAGGTAAATAACCTTACTTTATAAAATATAAATAAATTATTTTTTATTATTTAAAAATACTAGTAATCAAGATCATTAAAGACTTAATATTTAAAATTTTAGCTACAGGATACAGAAAGCAGTTTTTCATCTGGTCCTATGTCTCCATCTCGTTTGTTAATGGAGACATCTAAATTAGCTGAAAAAGTAAAACTGCAAAAACTTATTGAAGACAGTGCAGAAGTTAACCTTGAAGGCACTAGTGTATGACTATTATTTTTTTATCTTTGAATTAATTAATTTAACTATTTCATCAACAATTTTCTTGAAATTTTAGATTTGTCAAAAAGCCATAGCTGAACGTCTTGCATCAGCTGCAATTTCTGATTGTAATTTATTAGAATCTGAAGACAAAGAAGTGTTAATGCGCCAAGTTGAACAATTGCAAACGCGTTTAGATCATGTACGTTCACAAATGGCAGTACTTGAGCTTATGTTTGAACAATCAGCTGCTCAAACTGATAAGTATGATTTTTACTTTAAATTGTAATGTTTTATAATACTGATGTATTAATAGAATATGTTTATTTTTTTTTTTTTTATACATTAAAGATTATATCTAATACTTGGAAAATATGAATCAAACATGATTGCACTAAAACTAGAGGTAGAAACGAGTGAAGAAATAATGAACTGTTATTCATCTTTATTGTCCATTTATGATGGTTCAGCAAACGAAGAAGAGAAAATGTAATTGCTATTTTTAAACATTTTATACACTTTATAAAATTATTAATTTATTTTAATTGTACAGGATGAAAGATGAAATCATAGAATTGTTACATAATTTAGATGAAGAAAAGAAAAAAATTGGATCAACAGTAGTTGCTTTAGAGTCGTATCATTGTGAAGAAGAATCTGTCAAACCAAGAAGTCATAATCAAGTAACTCGTATTGATTTAGAAATGGCAGTTCTTGTACAGGAACTGATGGGAATACGAGAAGAAAAAAGTGAACTTCAAGAACGTTATGTTGCATTGCAAAAACATAACTGTGAGTTAGAAAAACGTTTGGCCGAGTGTGAAGAACGATCTAGAATAGATTTAGATACAATACAAGCATTAGAGCAACAGTTGTCATCTGAAGATTTTGATAGTAATGCTAGTGTAAATGTTAAGCTACAGAAACAGCTAAAAGATGTTACAACAGCACATCAACTTGCAATGAGAAATTCTGACACTAGACATAAGCAAAATATTGCATTGATTGAAAAACTTCGCAATGAGAACACGTAAGATTATATTGTTTTTATTATTGACTATAATTATTTATTTGTTCTTAAACTACAGAACACTGGAACGTAATTTGGAAAGGGCTAAACGTAAATCTCAATCACGTTTAAAGAAATTGGAGTCTGAAATTGAAATTATGGTCAGCACACACACTCTTCAGGTAATATTCTCTTATATTTAATAAATATATGTGTTTAATACTACAATTACATTGGTTTTAGGTAAATATTTTAAAAGAAAGAATTGCTGTACTGGAATCAACAATCATGAATAATGAAATCAGTAAAAGAAACGAAACTACTTTATGAACTTTAACAAAGTTGATTAGTCATAAATCATAAGATTTGTGATTTTTTTTTTTTTTATAAATTAATCCTTAGCTTGAAACATAATGAGCATTGCTAGGCTTTATTCCAGTTCCTTTGAATATATATGACTTAAGTACAATATACGAGCAAATAATATTAGGTTATAAAATAACTTAAATTCTCTGGTTTAATGGTATGACTATATTATTATGAATAATCCTAGACATTTTATATAACTAAATTATTATATTAAATATTTATGTAGCTGCTACATAATAATAATAATAATTATTATTAATGTACTTATTGTATTTTTACAACATACTATTAACAAATAAAATTATATAATACATACCGGGTGTGGTGCAAAATGTCGACAATAAAATATTGAAAAGTATGAAATATTGACCGTGTTGTAATTTCTATAAATCAAATTGTAGATTTTGAATTTTATTTTCTGATAGCAAAAAATGTTTTTTTATTTAAATAATTTTATAACATATATTAATAATAATAACTTTGATTGTACCATCATTTAAAAAGGAAAAATGATACAATACATTTTAATAGATCAATATTTGGTTTGATTTGTCAATATTTCATACTTTTCAATATTTTCACAATCGGCATTTTTGCTGTGTGCTTTTCGACTGGCTTCCATACATATCTAGTGCAATTTATCATGATAGTACGACTATCAAACTTATTTGATACTCAAGTTTTTTATGTGTTTTTTAAACATAGTTTATAAGTTTAAAGTAGGCAAAATGCTTTATTTTATAATACACATTTTTATACTTTTTTTTATATGAAATATAAAATTGTGAAAAAATAATACATGAGAGTGTAGTTTTTACTTATTTTTATACCATAAATGTTTTAAAATACTTTATACATTAATAGGATTAAAGTTAAGATGAAATTTTTAATCAGTATCCATTTTTTCTGCTTTGGCTAATTCATATGCTCTTATTTGTTTTTCCAAATGAGCACATGCTAATTCTATTTCATAATTTTTGCTCACTAATCCTACCCAATTGGCTTCTAAATCTCGTAATTTTTCTCCTACTTGCATCTGCACATTTTTTCGTTGGAAATTTACTTCTTGAATTTGTTTTCTAAAAACATTAATTTATTAGTAAATCAAGAAACATATAACTACAGTTCATAAAATTTATATTTACTTTAATTTAGTCACTTGTGTTTGCGCAGCAGCGACACATTTTACTAGAACTTCCAAATAAGATTTCCAGGCTTCTGTGCCATAATCCATCATCAGTTCTAAGTTTGTAATTCTGCAAGACAAAATAAATTTTCATATATTTTATCCAAATTTAGTTTTAAGAGGAGAAGATCAAAGACAGATCTCATATTTATAGTAAAGCAAATACTAAGTAAACATAATAATTAATAACTAGTGTAATAAGAATATCTACAATAATGTTCATGGATACCAAGCAGGATTATGACAATATAATCAGAAAAATTATGGAAAATCTTGACAAATTTAAGATTTTTATTTTTAACTTGATAGAACTGTACAATAGTAACACAAAATATGTGGTTTGGATACAGGGAGAGGCAATTGATTAGGTAGGAAGTTAATAAGAATTCCATAATGACAAACAAATTAAATGAAAATCATACACTCCCAAGTATTACACTAATAGAAGTAATACTAACTACGATTTCAAACAATAAGATTAGCTGTATTAACATATACAAGTATATATGAGGTTGTTAATAAACCAAGAAAATTCTTAGGCTAGTTCTGTCTAATAATAGATCAAATATGTTTTAAGTAGTGCTGGCCCTAAGAGGGCAACTGGTACAACCGCACTGGACTCCGAGCTTGTGGAGGGCCTCCACAAATTATATAATACGAATATCACTTTAAACTAAATTAACATAATATCATTGTTCTAGTACGCAAAATATGTAATAGCTACACAGTTACACTCATGCATTTATAAAATTGTTTATCGTCGATGACAGTACAAAATTATACAGAAATAAAGTAAGTTCCTAAGAAAAAATAAATAAATATTTATAAATAATTAATAAATTAATACATATGGGGCTCCGCAAAATTCTGCACTGGGCCACAAAAATTATCAGGCTGGCACTGTGTTTTGAGAACGATGAAAAGAAAAATAATTTATTGATCCATCTATAATACCGAGACTAATTTGTGGAAGAAAAGAACAGCTGATTAACTAAAACAATCATATGGAAAAAGAGAGTAAAATACAATTTATGAAAGGTATAAGAATGGAATGGACGAACAACATCTGAAGAGCTAAGAATACTATAAACATAGCACATGAGCAACATTAATATTAAAAAAATTAACTATGCTTAGGAGATATGGCAGATATGAGACTCAAATGATATGGAGATCTACATTGTGTATAAAAACTAGGGAAAGTGGAAGAAATTGGTATTAATACCAAAAAACCTAAACAGTCTATAACCTAAAAAATAATATATACCTTGTAGCTTGATGTTCAAGTTGGGCCATTGAGTTTTCTAAACATTCATTCCAAGCAGACATATCCGTAAGTTTTCCCGCTGGCGGTGGAGGTAGCTCATAACGTTTCATACTCATTGTTTCCATAGGCAAACGCTGCTGAAGTCTATCAAATTCTGTGCGCATCATTTCTGTCTGTTGAATATTAATTATTAGAATATTTTATTATTTTAATGTAAACATGATGTTAATAATCTTCAAAATGTTTTACTTTATAATGGTGATACTACTGTTTTAATTAAGTTTACTAATTGTGAAGGAACAGATAATCGATCTTAAAATAAGAAAATAATTACTTCAAACGCTGATACATTGAGTGACGGTAAATGTTCAAGATAATTTTTTGACGGCCTATAACGACGTTTTTCATCTTCGACCATACTGATTGCCTATTAATCGATTAAATTGAATAATTAGTGTTTATTATTAATATAACATGAATATATCAATACTACTTACCGCTTCACGGATGCCAGGCTCATCGTACCCTTGATCAATATACGGAAGAGCATCGACAATAACTTCGCCAGCCATTGTTAATGTCCCTGTATCGACTGTATTACTTTATTTTTTCACAAAGACAATAACCAAGAAATTCAGAAATTGAGTCTTAAATTTAAAACTTAAAAGCTACCGGTTATCAGTTTATTACTATGAAACTTGGTAATGTAATGATATTTAGTTAATTTAAAAATTCTAACTGTTAGCAAATAGAAATTACTTGTAAATAAAATACTGGTGATAAGCTGCACCTGGCGCAAACGCCGCAAACCGTCTTTCTTTTATCTGCCATTTGCATCATAATAATTGTTTAGTCTCCGCCTCCATATTATAATATAATAATAATATTATCGTGATATTCATAATTATCGGTTTTTCAGTAACCGTCGAAGAACCGTAACGATTTACGATCCTATGTAATATGATATACACACTATATATCATTATTTGCTATTATTGTGGAGGTTAATCATGATTCATGAATGATTTAGTATTGGTTATTTTACCACGAGTTACGAATAAAAATAATATTATGGTGTTCGTCATATTAAGCTGAAATTCAATCTTACGAACATTTACAAACTATATTATAGTTAAAAATGTAAACGCAAATCTCAAGACATCCAATTGCACACGCTTCTACAACCTGAGAACAAAAACTAAAAATCTGCGTCTAAAACCACGACTATTTCAAGATGTTCTCCTATCACAATCTGACAATCAAGCGAAGACGAAGACCAAATTTAATTTAATTTACCACTAAAAATTAATATTAACTAAAATGTTTCAATTTTAAACTTTGAGGGTGAGTTTAATACAGTGATACCATATTGGAACTAGATATACTTTAAATAAGTCAAAATTGAAAATTCTCAGTATTTTTCAAAAGAAAAAATCCAGGAAAAATAAATTCATCATTCTTACACAAATCCAGTTTTTGATAAATCAATTTTGTTTATTTGGTTTAACTCGAAAAAAAAATAACCACGCGTAGATACTTAAAGTAATTCACCAGATGTTAAAATTATCATTTTTATTTTAATAAAATAAATATTTTAACTCTTTTTGAAGCATCTAATATCTATTGTCGAGAATGTACCTCACATACCATTTTTCACTAAAAAATACTACAAGTTTGAACATTTTTGTTATTTTGGAAAATGTAATAAAAAATAAAATAATAAAATACATAAAAAAATTGTGCCCATATAGTTTTAGTAGGTTATTTAATATAGATATAAAAATAACTTATTTTTATTTTTATTTTTTTGAATTATCTTCAATATAATTTTATTGTCATTAGAGAAAGAAAAATTAAAAATTTGAAATGTCTAATGGCTCAAAAAGAATCATCGTGTGGTTTTCAAAACCATACGAGTAAGAAACGTAAATATAGACGTAAAAGTTTGTAGAGAATTTAATTCAATACTATTTAGGGTGTTTTTCTGTCGAAATACAACAAAATATAAAAAAATATATTCTAGGAGAAATAATTATAAAAGGAATGGGATTATCTGGTGTCACAAAAAAAATAACACGTAAAAAGTAGAAAATTATTAAAATCGCCAAACTCATAATCTCATAGTAAAATATAATTAAATGTCGTCTATCTCCAACTATTGATTATAGAAAAGTCTATTCTAAAATCAATATTTATAACTTACACCTATAATATAAAACGGGAATATAAAACATCGTGAAAAGAAAATACTAAAGAGATCTGAAAAAACAATAAGGACTTGACGAAACAACGAGAAAGACGGAGAAAATTCGAGAACGTTCTATAACGGTAGCGGCTATTATGGTACAATGGTACATGTTTAATTTTAGAAAATGGTTAGCAATAACTATTTAATACTGATAGGTATAATTCACAAACTTACAAGAGTACAACTTACACCCATAAGTACCTACCTAATATAGTTTATTTAAGTTTAAAAATTGTCATTGACTCTGGAATACAGAGTAAATGTACCTATATATATTGTATTAGGCATTTTCAATTTTCTGTATCAGAATATTGATAAAAAAACTTTCTCAGTCATCAAGCTTAAAAATATAAGTAAGTTTTACCTATTTACATATATCTAGTAATTAAAAAATATTGAAAATAATTAGGTACCTATACCTACCTATCTAAAAATTTTCTATAGATATTTAAATTTTGTTGAAAATAAAGATAGAAATGTTAATAAAATCAGATATTTGAATAAAAAAATAGTTTTTTTTTTTGCAATCAAAAAAAAATATTAGCTGTTGAAAATTGGAAAATTTCACTATTATCTACTAAAATTATTATTTTATACATATAAAATATATGGCGAATATGTCGTTAACATATAGTTGACGTCCTGTATTATTATAATTGAGACCATTTGATGAGAAATGAATAACAAAATATAAATGAAACACTGTAAAAACAATTTCAGTTAAATTATAATTGACTACTTATTGATTTACTGAAAAATAAATCATAATATTTATTTCAGGGCTTGCAAACGTTATAATAACATTATATTTGACAAAAAAACGATTGAAATTTGTAAACGTAATTATAACGGAAAAAGATAAAAATAAGTAGGTTATTAAATAACACAAAACAAAACATAATGATTAACAAAATATATGATATATCATCAAACAAAACATAATGCAAAACGTTATATATAATATATAGTATATCATAAAAAGAAATAATTAATTTACAATTATTTAATAGTTATACATTTTTAAAATATACTAAAAATTTTAATTCTGAATAACGTTTAACGCAAAAGTTGTATAACGTTTTAATTATAAATAACGTAGTATAACAAAATATTTTTTTCAAATGCAAACCATGATTTATTTTGAATATTTTTACTTGTTTTCAAATATATATTTTTATAGTATGCGATGTTATGTATAATTATTTATTAATTTATTATTATATATTACATATTATTATGTCCATTTTATATATTACATGTATTGTAAACATTAGTACGGGGCGAGATTCGCATGGGCCAAGGCCCAGTTGGCCCAGTTGGCCCAGGCTGTAGTTTTGCCCAAAAACATAGTCTACCTCAAACGACTCAAATCATTGATTATAAAAAAGTCTATTCTATAATCAATGCTTATGCCTAAAATTAAAATAATATCATATGTGTAAAGACAAAATTTTCAAAATCATACAAGTAGGAAACGTAAACATAGACATAAAAGTTTGTAAAGAATTTACATCAGTGCTATTTAGGGTAATTTTTTGTCGAAAGACAACAAAATAAAAAATAAATATATTCTAGGAGAAATAATTATAAAAGAAATGAGATTGTCTGATGTCACAAAAAAATAACACATAAAAAGTAGAAAATTATTAAAATCACCAAATTCATAATCACACAGTAAAATATAATTAAATATCGACTACCTCCAACTATTGATTATAGAAAAGTCTATGCTATAATCAATATTTAAAACTTATACCTATAATATAAAACATAGTAAATTTTATGTAAATACAAGTAAAAAGAAAATACTAAATACATCTAAGTAAACAACAAGGACTCGGTGAAACAACGAGAAAGACGGAGAAAATTCGAGAATGTTCTATGACAGTAGCCGTTATTAAAATAACATACATAGAAATGGGATGGCGGTGAACGAGGGGGACAGCGCGGAGGCAACGACATCGCTCGCGAAACGTATCGAACCTTCTAGAACGTTCCGTCGGCTATATAAACGTTAACAGCGCGCCGCCTAGCTTCAGTTTGAATTTCAAAGCGATACGAGTGCGATACTAGTGTAATACATCGAACGAGAGATACTATTTCGTGCTATTCTGTGCTATTCTCAGTTATTTAAGTGCGATATCTTTAAATCAAAGCGGTTTTCAAATCATCATCGAATCGAGTGCTATTAATTCATACGTTTTATTCGTTTAATATCTATTCGTATTAGTTGTGCGTTGAACGAGACCTACGAGTTATTGGCGAAAAATAAAATGGTTGGAAAGACTGCGATCGGTATCGACCTGGGCACCACCTATTCTTGTGTGGGCGTCTGGCAACACGGTAAAGTAGAAGTCATCGCCAACGATCAAGGAAACAGGACCACGCCGAGTTATGTGGCGTTCACCGACACGGAACGGTTGATCGGGGACGGAGCTAAGAACCAGGTGGCGATGAACCCAGTAAACACCGTGTTCGACGCCAAACGTTTAATCGGACGTCGTTTTGACGACGAGAAGACACAAGCGGATATGAAACAATGGCCGTTCAAAGTAGTGAACGACTGCGGGAAGCCTAAAATCCAAGTGGAATTCAAAGGTGAGCGGAAAGTGTTCGCGCCGGAAGAAATCAGTTCGATGGTGCTGTCGAAAATGAAGGAGATCGCGGAAGCGTACCTGGGCCATAGTGTGACGGACGCGGTGGTCACGGTGCCGGCGTACTTCAACGATTCGCAGAGACAGGCGACAAAGGACGCGGGCGCGATAGCCGGGCTGAACGTGATGCGAATAATCAATGAACCGACAGCTGCGGCTCTGGCGTACGGCCTGGACAAGAACCTGAAAGGAGAAAGAAATGTGTTGATATTCGATCTGGGCGGCGGGACGTTCGACGTGTCCATTCTTCAAATCGACGAGGGTTCAATATTCGAAGTGAAATCAACGGCGGGTGACACGCACTTAGGCGGTGAAGACTTCGACAACCGGCTGGTGAATCATTTGGCCGACGAGTTCAAGAGGAAGTGCAAAAAAGACGTGCGAAGCAATCCGAGGGCGTTGAGACGGCTAAGGACAGCCGCCGAACGGGCCAAGAGAACCTTGTCGTCTAGTTCGGAAGCTACTATCGAAATTGACGCTCTGATGGAAGGCATCGATTTCTACACGAGAGTTTCCCGAGCCCGTTTTGAGGAGTTATGCGCGGACCTGTTTAGATCGACCCTGCAACCGGTGGAAAAGGCGTTGGCAGACGCCAAGTTGGACAAAGGAGACATACACGACGTGGTGTTGGTTGGCGGTTCGACGAGAATCCCGAAGATCCAGAGTCTGCTGCAAAACTTTTTCTGCGGCAAACCGCTCAACCTATCCATCAATCCGGACGAAGCCGTGGCTTACGGCGCCGCGGTGCAGGCGGCCATCCTGAGCGGCGACACGAGTTCCGCGATCCAAGACGTTCTGCTCGTGGACGTCACGCCCCTGTCGCTGGGCATTGAAACTGCGGGCGGAGTAATGACGAAAATCGTTGAGCGCAATTCCACCATCCCGTGCAAACAAA